AAGTAATGTTATATTTTTATTTTTTTTCATGAAAGGTAATTTTAAAAATATATTTTAAATATTACTTAAAAATTTATACCGTAATTTCTAAATAAAATTAAATAGATATTTTAAAATATACTTTATAAATGAAACCGTAGAAAGTACATCAGAATTACATAAATAAAAATGATGAATAAGTCCCTGCGATACATATATATAATGCATCTTATTTATTATTCTCAATCCTCAAAGCTTGCACATGCACACATATATATGCTAATAGCAAATCGCTATATAGCTCTCTATCACTTAATCCCACTTGGGTCAGTAGCTCTATATCATGTTTGTGCAGGTAATTAATAATTCATGTTTAGTTTCATCATCCAATACCTCATTTCTTACAAGACCTCAAATTCTTGCAAGTATGATATCTTCATCGTAATGTTTATATTGATAAATTTGAATTTAAAATCTTTTATTTCAATAATACAAACAAATTTTGATAGACGACCTAAGATTTGAAGTAAAAAAAATAAAAATTGAAAGTAACAAGTTCACAAATATTTTTCAATTAACAAGAGATGAGAACTAGATTTGAGAAAAGAGACTAGAGTAACAAACACATACCAATAGTTAATTAAAATGTAAAGAAAATGAGAGGGATAATGGAGCACACATGAAATTTCAAATAATTAGATGATAAAGGGGATTATAAAATTATAAAAAAATTATAATAAAACATGAATTTGATTTTGGGGAGCACATGAAATTTCAAATAATTGAATAATAGAGGGGATTATGAAATTATAAAGAAATTATAATAAAATATGAATTTGGATTTGGATCAAGTTTAAATCAATAGAATTTTATTTATTTAAATGAAGGATTTGGTTTACATCCAAGTCTAACTCTTAATTCACATTAATCTAAACACAACACAACTGTACACCGATCATGATTTGGCAAGTCGACCAAGCATGCAATGATGCCAAGCTGAAGCGAATTAATTTATTGATCCAGCGGATTAATCACCTCTATTGGAAATGAATGTCTTTGGATACAATGAACGTCATGTTGTTTAAGTTACTTATAATTAATTAATGAAAAAGTGATAGAGATGTTGATGAGATAGCTAGCGTGGAGTGTCATGTTAATTCAATAATGCGTGCAGTATCATTAATTTAATAATCCAATTTTCTGGTGAGACGATACTGATAATTAAGTTATGGCCTATCAGTGCCTGTGCGTGCAAATCAAATCCAATCAAGAGAGAGAGACCAATAATATGGCGAGCTGTGTTGGTGAGAAAAAGGGATGGATAGAATGCATTATGAATAAAGCAAGAGAATGTGTAATCACATGGCCCTTTCCTTGGCGGTCGGGGACAAAACCAGTGTTCCTCACCAAAAACTAAATGTTTTGTCACATAATTTGTGCATAATATATAATCAAGTTGTGAAATTACACAAAATTCGTATTGGATAAATTCAACTAATTCATAATTTCCTAACATGGGTCCTAAAACCTTCAATTCTGATTTGTTGCTAATTAAACTAATCCACTTTATTCTACTGTGGGAACGTGACCTCTGTGTGTGTGGGGTTCACACATTTGAAAAGGATGGCATCATGTGATGAGAGATCCATCGAAAGACTTTTATTTGATGCCTTTTTGTACCATATATACATATAATTGCTCAACCAATATACTTTCATAAACTCTGCTTTTAAAACTTACCTTTTTCCTCTGCTTCTGCCTAGGCTAAGCCTAGCTAATAAGAAAAGTGATTTTAAAAAAATACGGCACCAAGAAATCAGATCGTTTCAAAACAAGCGTTTGTGAACTACGAGTTTTGTTAAACTGCAAGGCCTTAATTAATTAAGAAGACTATATACGTAGTAAAATATTAGATCGTTTTTTTTTTATTTGGATTGAATACACATAAGTAACGATGCATTATTATTCAGAAATAATTAATTACTTTGGCACACCTTTAGCCGATATGATTGCCTCTGCAAAAGCACACCAGGATTCCGATGTCATTGCAATAATGAAATCGACAGTGACATAAACGGATAACGATTTTCAGAAAGGGCTTTAATTAATTGTCAAGAAATATGGTTGAGCTTTTGTTATGTTCCCAATCAACTTATTATCTTGATCATGTCTCTTAAGAAACTCCCAAAAAAAGGGACGTGTAAAGGAAAAAGTACTAGTGTAAAGAGAAAACGTAAACAACTACTAATTGGAGGAACCAGAGCCTCTTAGATTCCTCTCCCTTAGCGTCCCTTAGCGGCAGCAAGATCTCCACCCTTCAATCTATATCTAATGCTTCATATCTTGCCACATCATCCCATATTAAAATAATTTAATTTTTAAAAATAAGTTTTTACACCTTATTTCACTACTTATATATTTTTTTTAGGATAATGATTCCAATTTTTTTTTTCAAAACTTGTCCTAAAAAATTACTCTACAAATTTTTGTAGGAATTTACAGTTTGGTTTATTCAAATTCTGGCCAGATCTATTTAACAAAATTTTATTTTGAAAAAATTTGTACAGTAGTTTTTTAGGACATATTTTGAAAATTAAAAAAAATAACTTGAATCATTATCCTAATATATATATATATATATATATAAAGTAGTGAAATAAGGTGGAATTTTTATAAAAAAAATTAAATTATTTTAATACAGGATGATGTGGTAAGATATGAGATATTAGATATGGACTAATGGGTGGAGATCTTGCTGCCATTGAGGGACGTTGAGGGAGAGGAATCTGAGAGGATCCGGATCCCTTATTGGACGCTTATGGAAGTGATTAATACAACTATAATAAAAATAAAGATTCTGTCAACAAATGTTGATTTAAATGATAAGGATTTGATCCATATAATCTACAAGATCATGAATTTAATGCGAGGACCTAATTTGTCACTGGATAATTTGTAAATACCTCTGTATGTGCTCTTTAAATCCAAAAATTTATTCTAATACTAGTGAAACCACTAGATTCAGCTACCCAAACTTTAAACCGTACGAGAGAAATAAAGATTCTAAGAGCAGCTTGTATCTTGTAAGCAAGAAGAAAGTGATGATAAGGGTTTCCACTTGGAAATTTGCAATTCTTGTGCTTTGACGTTGCGCAAATCACAATGAGAGTTGATGATGATGAAACCTTTATGTATATGGAATGGACAAATCTGTTGCCATGTTCATATAATAGAAGCTTGATTTGGACAAAGGAACTAACAGTACTGAAATGAGGTGCCCACAAACAGAGAAGAGGAAGTGTTATGTATGTATGTATATATGTACCAGAAAAATGTGGATGTGTGTAAGGTGTGGGGTTGAGGGCATTGAGTTGTATGCAGATGGATCTGTCGTACGTGGTTGTATGAAACGGAGCTTTCTGAAGCAATGGACAAATAAACTTGCAAGTCCACCCATACATATGCACTGTTCATGTCATGATGATTCTTGACTGTGCGGCCATCTACCAGTCTCATGAAAAGGTAGTCAGCTCCTTTTATTCTGTGTTAAGAGATCTTTGTGGCCACTCACCATCTTATTTGTACATTGGTATAACTTGCCCAGTACTGTAGGGTCACACGAGTCTACAACAAAACTAGCTAGAGACACTTGGGGGATGGATCGTGGGGAGCAAGGGTGCTTGACCAACCATATGACAAATTATTTGTAAAAATTACTTAGCTTTTAATTGTAATTGTGGCCCCGCACTATTATGTAATTTTACATAACTCCCAACCCCAACACAATTGTTTCTCGATCCGTCCTGGAGGTACTGCCCGAAAAATAAAAAATAAAAGCTAGAGGTAGTTGAAGGGGATTTCAATGATGTATCATGAGTCAGTCAACATGTTTGGTGATATTGAATTTTCTGTTTTATTTTACTTAATTTTAACTTCACGTTAATATTTTTCTGATCAATTAATATATTGTGTTAAGTCCCCTAGACAAAGAATGTATATAACAAACTGTATTATTATATAAAATTCTGTACAGTACAAAAAATCTAATATCTATTGTGTATATGTAAATAATATACTCTCTCTAGTCTTGTTCGATATAAAATATTTTACAAAAATTAATAAAATATTTATAAATCATTTTTCAAAAATATTTTTTTTTTCTTTGCCACTAGTCGTCTATCTCACATCAACTTGGTTGAGGTTAATTTTGGAAAAATTATAGCGTAACTACTTTTAATTGATTTTCTTAATTTCAACAAATTAATTAAAAAACCCTTATAAAAAAGACATGGAGGACTGTAAAATAATATCAAGTTATACTGTATATCCATATATTAAAAATAATATATGTAACCGATATCCTAAGATTCCATGAAATACATGAAAATACAAGAAAAATTGTGTTAGGTACGATGGGTTGGGCTGGGCCTTGTTGAATAACTTGAGAAACATTGCTGCGAATCTGTCATGTCACCCGCTGGATTCTTCAAGATGATATATAGAATAATTTTGTAATGGAATTTCCGCGCTAATAATCATTAATCAATCATTATATTTTACAAAAAATAAATAAAATTAACACGGTATAATTCCTGTCAAATTTCTATGCATTGTGGTTCTAGTATAAGTTAATAATTGAAGTACTGGAGGAAATAGAATATAGTCAACGACCGGGGAAATGGTGGGGGGAAAGAATATGTGTTCGAGTTCATGTGACTTATGGATCGGATTAATTTAATTATATTCTTGTTTCATGATCAAGAGGCTTAAGAATATATTAAATGATAACGATGAGAATATAGGAGATATTATACCTTTTACCAACCTATATAGCACATTATTAGAGATTTAGTTTTTGATAGATTTAAGATTTTTTTTCCCCTTCTGCTTCGTCGTTCGAGCTTTTATGACACACCTCTGGTCGCGTGATTTTAGAACAAATCATACCGATATAAAACTAAATAGTAAGAGAATCAAACTGTTCATAAACTATAAACAATACAAGTTATAAATAAGCATATATAGCAACAGTGATTATATTGCAGTCTCAGACAACTACCTTACGCATTTTGGTGCCATTCAAGTAAGAGACTAAACCTTTCATTTCTATCCTTCTCTACAACTACGATTACCATTTGATTTGTACTGCTGCTAAATGATTCATTATATTCTAGGTCATCTTCAGGAACTGCAAGTGCATCATTTTCTCATATATATTGACCCTGCCTAGTCGTTGTAATTGTTGGACGAATAGGATCATTTTCATCCTACACACACACACACACACACACAAATTGATTAATTACTTTTATATACTACGTCTTCTTAATTCAGGAATGAGGTCACTATCCTTCCTCTACTTCTTTTCTCAGTTCACCTAAAAGAATCTCAGGTGTTATTATTGCTTAATTATAACGGTGTATCACAGAGTGATGAGGCAGACGAGGGTTCCACCATTGTTTAATCCCATGAGCCTCTGTGAAACTCGTTGACGAAGCCTGATTGATGATCAACTCAGCAGAAGGAAGCAGATGCTGAGGCTGCGATTCTATATCCCATTTATTAGACATGAGCAAGCCCTTGATAGTATTCTGTGTACCCAACCTCTCCAGTGTTGCCGTTGCAGCACCCAGCTCGTACATCTTCATCCTCTGCTCAAAATACCAAATATAACCCGAACTAACATGGTCACTTGGATTCACGAACAAACAAGGCAGCCAATCAGCCAGCGCAGAAAATTCATCATAATCACCCTTGCGATTCTCGTGGCGCTGTGAATAAGCAATGAGCAGTGCTTTCACCGTAGTAGAAACCATGTGAATTCCTGTCCTCAGTTTCGGCTTGTTAATCCTCTCCAACACACCAGAAGAGGAGGGAGGGTTGAAAAGGTAGGCTGTGAGATGACAACCCAACCTAGCCGCCATGTTCTTGGCCGCGAGCAAGGCTATGGCTGAGCCTAAGGAGTGACCGGCGAGCCAGACATTATGAGCACCGCCGGCGACGGCCACCCAGTGTTGAACTCTGCCGACGGCACTGTTGAGCCGGTGGCTGTTGTGGAGGATGCCGAAGTAGGACTGGATGCTCAAGGAGATGTCTGTGGAGAGAGTTGGGGAAGTGAGCATCACTCCTCGGAAGGCGATGAGGTATTTAGGGGAATTGATGGCGAAGTTTCCGGGTTTGGAGTTGAGCTGGAAGACGGCTCCGAACACAGAATGGTCGGAGCTGTCTTGGATGGTTTCGATGAGACGAAAGCGGAAGGTCTCCCACCAGGGAAGAGCCTGAGCTTTGGGTCCGGCCCGGTTCAATCGGCGGTCGTTTTCAAGCACGTATACTCCTTGAACCACGCTTGCCAGGACGCACCTCCTGTGGCTTGCGTTATTCCTGCGTTATTCGTGCATGCATGAGAACTAACGAATATAATACTTTAAATTGTTGTTAATTGCTGTTAGTTCCGGTTTTATGTGGGGAGACACTTACTGGAGATAGCTAATAAACATACCAGTCAACGGATTTGAGATCGGCAGGCCCTGAAAGGTGGAAAATGTCGCCCGACTCCGGTATCATTTGATTCATTTCCGCTCCTATATGTCTCTGAAACCAATATAATATTATTAGTTTGATCCACCAATATGGTACAACGAAATTGAAACGATTTTGGATTTAAATGTGTGTGTGTGTGGGGCTTTGCTTGGGTGGATAAGGATGCATCTCAAGCAAAAATTAAGGAGTTTGAAGTCAAAAAGTGGACTCATTCGAAGCATAAATTCTTTTGTCAATAATTTTTCTTTTTGTGTCGGAAATGTAATTGAAGGAATAAATTCACGCAATTTGCGTTTGGTTTCGGTGCTTGATGAGTTAAGTGATGCACATTTTGTATTGTCCAAATTTTTAATCTGGAACATTCAAATTTCAGGATTTTATTTTTATATTTATTAAGATTTTATTTTATTTTACAACTTAAAAATTTTAAATTCAAAATGTTCAAAAATATTTAAATAGTTAATTTATAAAAATTATAAAAAAAATTAATATTAAATTGAACCAGAAATATATATTATTTAAATTAATGATAATATAAATTTACTAAAATTTAATAATTTTTTTATAATAAATATAAAATAAAAATATAAAAAAATTTAAAATTCAGACCACTCAAATTAAGAACGTGGGTGGTCCAAATTGCTCATGTGACGAGCATCAAAACCGGAGTCAACGAATTTTGTCTTACGTGATTAGATTCACGTCCCCTACAATACGTGTGCAAGGCCCTAGGCTGAGATTGGGCAACGTGAAGAAAAGTGTGAATATAATATTGAGAGGGGAGCAATAATAGAAGAAGGGAGGGGAAGGAAAAGTTTAACTTCTACCCTTTCTAAATTTTTTTAACCAAATTAGCAGATCCCCTCCCCCTAAACCCTTAGACCGAACGCACCCAAGAGTATTATTATGTTTAGCTGATTTGAAAATTAATAAAGCTGTTGATAATTAATTAAAGATCAATATTATGTTATTATATAAAGTTGGTAGAAAATCAAACTTTTCATGTATAAGTCATGTATACATGTGATGACTCCTATCAAATTTTATGAGAATTATACCTAAATCTCCAACAATATAATTAAATGATATAATGTCCATTGCAGTGATAGACCTGAGTCAATAAGTTTGTAGGGGAAAAACTATACCTACTATTATTTTTTAAAAAATATAAATAATTATAATTTAAAATATTAAAATTAAATAGGTTCGTGAGATTACCAAATTAAAGAACATGATATCATTGTTATTTTTTATATACCATAATTTTAGTTTAGAAACTTTATTTTATGATATAAGTTCTATGAATTTAATTTTCATAAATGTTGAAAAAATATACCGTAAATATACATGATCGAGTCAACTGAAAAATAGATATGGTTGAGATTTTGAAACGTTAAATAGACACGAATGAAATTTTTGTGTGAGGGGCAAAAGTTGTTATTATTATTATTATTATTTTCAAAAGAGGGGCGGCAAGAATAATTTATTAGGGCATCTGCGTGAAGTTTTCTCCTTCTTATAGTGTCAGAAAGTGCCTCCACTTTCTTTGCAGTAGGTCTATCATAGTGTCGTTCGTCTGCTGACAATTGAATATAACAAAATAAAAAAATAAAAAATAACTGTTAACTTTCTCATAATTTTTTAAAAAAGTTTATTGAAAAGTATGGATTTAAATAGTTATAAATTTAAAAATTTTAATTGTAAAAATAATATTTAAATTTTAAATATAATAATTAGTTTGTAATATAGATTCTTAATTATAACAGTTTGAATTGATATTTATAGTTTATTTTATAATTTTTTTTTTAAATTTACCTATCATTAATTTGTCTTTTTAAGACTTTGTTGTTATTCTTTTAAAAAAATATTTTGAATCAGATAGACTATATTAATATTCATTATATATGTCTCAAACAACATTACATATTAATAGATATTACTCTGCTTCAATTGGTGAAATTGACTAAAAGAATGTCTAGTTTCACATTAAAAATTATCAAAGTCATAGTTTTGGTGGAAACAAGTAACTACATGTTGCCGACAAAACCATGGTTTTGATAGTTTCTAAGATGAAGCCGACCATGTGTATATATATATATATATGTGCGCTAAACCTTGCAATTCTATCATTCTCCAATCTCCACAGCTACTGTACCCCTTGATTTGCACCACTATTTAGTGATTATTTATTCTAGGCCATCCCATGACCTACACGCGCATCGTTTTCACATTAACCTTAAGTCGTTATATAATTGTTGGACGAAGGACCATCCCCATCCTGTCTTATTGACACCTTTATAGACCGTCTTTTTAAATCATTTTAAGTGCAGTGAGGATAAAAATTGGGATGAAAAAGTAAGCTCACTATCATTCTTCCTCCATTTCTTTTGTCACTACTTCACCTGAAAATTTGTCAAGTTTTTATTACTTGAAATTAAACGGTATAGTACAGTGTGAGAAGGAAGACGGGGGTCCCTCCATTGTTTAATCCCATGAGCCACAGTGAAACACGACGACCGAGTCTGATTAAGGATCAACTCAGCAGAAGGAAAGAAGATGGCGAGGCTCCGATCCTATGTCCATCACATTTGACATGATCAAGCTCTTAAGAGTAAGCTTTGTAGCCAGATCCTCAAGTCTTGCAGCCCCGAGCTCGATCATCTTGATCCTCTGCTCAAAATACCCAACATAACCAGAACAAATAGGATCCCCTGGATTCACGAACAAACAAGGCATACCCAATCAGACAACGCACAAAATTCATCTTCCTTTTTATTACTCTCACGATTCTGGTGGTGTGCTATAAATAAACAGAAGGCCGAGTGAAGTGCTGTGGAGTGAAGCTGCTGGGGATGTCGGCTCTTGACGGGGTGGTATTGTCACGAGTCCCACATTGAGGAGCTTCACAAGTATTGTGGGGTTTATAATTGTGAGGGTCTCTCCCACCCAACAGGTTAGTTTTTTGGGATGGACTCTCTCTTTGAGTCTGTGCTCGTCACATTGGTGCTTTTATTGAGAACCCGATGTCACGGAAAGGCTACCAACGGAGAGTTCTGACCAGCAGAAGGCTGAGTGAAGTGCCATAGAGTGAAGCCGTCGGGGACGTCGGCTTTTGACGGGTGGTATTGTCACGGCTCCCACATCCTCACAAGTATTGTGGGGTTTATAAGTGTGAGGGACTCTTCCACCCAACAGGCTAGTCTTTTGGGACGGACTCTCCCTTTGAGCTTGTACTCGTTATATTGGTGCTTTCATTGAGAATTCAGTGTCATGGAAAGGGCTACCTATGGAGGGTTCTGACCAATAGAAGGCAGAGTGAAGTGTCGTGGAGTGAAGCCGCTGGAGACGTTGGCTCTTGACAGGGTGGCATTGTCACGAGTCCCACATCGAGGAGCCTCACAAGTATTGTGAGGTTTATAAGTGTGAAGGTTCTCCCACCCAACAAGCTAGTCTTTTAGGATGGGCTCTCCTTTTGGGCTTGTGCTCATCACATTATGTCACAACTACAAGCCATCTAGGTAGAACTCACCCCTAAAAGGCGCCTCGTAAGGGGAAGGTGCCCAGCTGACTTATAAACCACATTCCATCAATATGGCCTCCCAATGTGGGACTCATAACATAGCCCAACCCTTAAGAGCTGACGTCCGCAACGGCTCACACTCTACGACGCTTCACTTGGCCTTCGGCCGGTTAGCCTCTCCGTGGATAACCCTTTCCACGAACGACGACTCTTAACGAGAGCACCAATGTCACAAACACAAGTCATCTGGGTAGAACTCACCCACTCTCAAAAGGCGCCTCGTAAGGGAAGGGTGCTCAGCTGACTTATAAATTACATTCCATCAATGTGACCTCCTGATGTGGGACTCATAATAGAAGCAATGTGAATTCCTTGCCTCAGTTTTGGCTTGTTAATCCTCTCCAACATAGCAGAAGAGAGGGGAGGGTAGAAAAGGTGGGTGGGTCGGTAGATGACAACCCGACTTAGCCATGTCCTTGGCCGCGAGCAAGACTATTGCTGAGCCTAAGGAGTGACCGGTGACCCAGACGTTAGGAGCACCGCCCGAGGCGCTACCCAGCGTTGAACTCTATCGACGGCGAGGTGGAGCCGGGGGCTGTTGTGGAGGATGCCGAAGTAGGACTGGACGCTTAAGTAGACGTCTGTGGGGAGAGTGGGGCGAGTCAGTATCATTCCTCGGAAGGCGATGATGTATTTGGGGTTGCCGAATTTGGAGTTAATGAGTTGGAGGACGGCTCCGATGACGGACTCGTGGCGGATCTCGATGAGCCGAAAGTGGAAGGAGTCTCAACAGGGTAAGGCCAGGGAATTGGGTCCGGCCCTGTTCATTTCGAGAACATATGCCCCTCGCACCAAGCTTTGCCAGGACGCACCTTCTGTGGTTTGCGTTATTCCTGCTTTAATGAATGCATGAGAACCAATAAATATAGCGCCTTACTCTTATGAGAATAGTTTTTATTTATTTTTAAATATATTTGATAACTTATTTTTAAAAAATGTTTTGAGAAACAAAAAAATAAAATATTATTTTAAAAAATAGAACAACAAAAACATCTTTTAAATATTCTGAAAAACAAGAGAGAATAAAAAAATATTTATTTTTATTTTTTTTATCCAAACTATAAAACATCAATTTTTAAAATAAAAAATAAAAAAAATTCAAATAAACCCTTAAATTGTTATCGCCATTAGTTTGAGTTTTACGTGACAAGAGATTAATTTGGAGATCATGATGAACAGACCAGTCAACGGATTTGAGATAAACATGTCCTGAAAGGTAGAAAATGTGAGACTCAGGTGCCATTTCCGGATCTTCTCTGCAAATTGTCTTTGTTTGATCGGTCAATGTGGTACAACAAGTTTGAAATATTCTCGGTCAATTATATAGAAATTTGTTTGGGGAAAATGATGAATGTCGAGGAATATTATGAGTCGTTTAAAGTCGAAAATTGAGTTCCATAAGCATAAATTCCTTCTATCTATATTTTATGGTTTGATCGAATTGTAACCGAAGGAATGAATTCTATCTCACTCTTACGTGACATGCACGTCATGGATAAACGCTCATGTGCAAGTTTTTGGAAAAGCAGAGTCGTCGTGAAGAAGGGTCATAGCTTTGGCCCTCTATGGCGATCGATCGATTGCATATTAATATTGAAAATACCGTGCGTGTGTAGAATTGTGCATTTTTTTTTTTTTTTTGGATAAACAGAATTGTGGTTTTCTCGAAAGGTGATTATCTGTGTGCATTGCCAGGGAATGAAAATGGATGGTCTTATATATTTATATTGTTTTTGGTGTTACTTGGTAATCTGAATCCAACAACAAACGCTTTAATTTGAACATGATGAACAATGATGACTTCTCTGCTGCTCTCACATTCTCTGTCCCCTGCCTATTTCCACCAGACACCCTTGCGGGTTAGAGCATAGTTCACTAACAGTAACCAGCAAGCCACTAGATTGCAAAGCAATATAATTTATTTGTTACACTCTATATAGAATATATATATATATATATATATAATATCTGATGTCAATATTCTCAACATTATGGTATTAAATCTCCTACCCGACATCTTCGCCCTACGTCCAGCTCTCTACCATCCATATTATGAAACTTGGTTTTTCTTTGATGGTATATCAATAGATTTGGGCTTTCAATCCTAGGAATCAAAGTCATTCTCTTTTATCCTGATGGCATATAATTTGGGATTGGTGTGAGAAGAACTCATGCTTTGCTGGCCTATTTGGAGAAGGAGAAACCAATGGGATATATCTTCGTATGTGCCTCTCCTTTTAGAGTATCTGAGAGACTGAGACCTCCGTAGGCTTATTTGTGTCCTGGCCTTTCTTTTTCTCTGTTATTTAGGAAAAAAAAAAAAAAAGCTAAGCATAATCTGCTACTCCAGAAGCAATAACAACCTATATACAACATTGACAGGCATCATCTTTTGGATTTTGAACTATTTTAGGTTAATTGTCTTCAAGCATATTGGACGCCCTCTCATTTTACGTCGGCGTGATGATCCCTAATCTCAAAGTGAACGTTGGGCTAAAATCAGGTGGCAGGTTTCCACGAGTCTATGAAACCCATTCAATTTGCGAGCATGATATAGGTCATTACAGGTCATCAGGCTTTTAAGTGTCCTTCTTTTGTTTTGGGCCAAGGCCTTTAACTATCTTAAATTAGGTGGATTGGATGGATATTTTACATGAAATTCTAAAAATAATAACTAAATAAATAAATATGTTGCTGCAACTTTTTTTTTAAAAAAAAATATTTTATCGTAATCTGCCAGCCACGTTGTGGATTTGGAAATCCTGCATTATTGAGCACTTCAACCAGAGTAACCAGAAGCGATCCACACAAACACTACAAGCCGCTCACATCCCCTCACACAAAACGCACACAAACTCTACTCATGTCTACACCCAACACCCACGTAGGTTTGCTGCCACGACAACACATATGAACGATTAATAAGCAGTGATGATAAAGTATTGATGTCAGTTTTTAGGATTAATCCGAATCTCATCTAATCCACTTTTGTCCGCGAACCTGGTCCGCTGCTGAACCTGGAAGTAGTCCCTGTACTTGATGTTCTTGAACAATGGCTCCTCTTTCTGCACCAGCCCCGTCGCCGGACCTATCTCCTTCTCCAAGTCTGGTCCATTCACCAGCACCAGACTTATCCTTGTGTCCTTGTTGTTCAACACTGCACGGTGCAAGATGCTCTTGTACCTCCCATTGCTCACCGCCTAATCCATCAAGAATCAATGTTTGCCCATACATGAAGTGAATCTATATACAGAAAAGTGTGCCTTGTGTGTGTAGACATTTAGGACATGAGGAATGGGAATGACCTCGAGTTGATCTCCAGTGTTGACGATGAGGCAGCTGGGAAGAGGATCCACGCTGATCCACCTGCCGTCGTGCTTGACCTGGAGGCCTCCGATTCCGTTCTGGTAGAGAAGGGTGAGGAGGCCGTGATCGGAGTGAGGAGGCATGCCCAGGGCAAGGTCTGGCTCAGGGCAAGGAGGGTAGAGGTTGACGGCGAAGATCTGCAAACCAGAGTCGAAACCAGTGGACTCCACGAGGGCCTCGGGCTCTAATTCCAAGCTCTCCGATATCCCTTGCAGCAAAGTCCTCGCTATCGCCCTGATCTTCCCGCTATAATCATAAGCAACCTCCCTGTAGAAACAGGATGGATTATACGAAGGCCAATCCGAGAAGCAGAGAAAACAAAGAGACGATGAACTTACTTGAAACCGGGGGTTTGTTGGGGAAATTGAATTCTGGAAGCGTGATGACCTTGAGGTAATCTCTCCAGTAATGAACCTTCTCTACTTGAGGGTGGAAGCTGGTGCCATGTCGTATGGGAGAAAAGGGACCCCTATCGGCGAATTCCTTCTTTTCCTCGACCGGCAAGTTATGGAATTCGTGAGCCTTGTTCATCACCTCCGCCATCAGCTTCTCCGAAATCCCATGATTCGTGAGCTGCCACAATTCCCACATTGTTAATTATACCTGAAACAAAACCGAAAGCGCCATGCTTAGAAAACAGGGGTGCATTGGAATTTTAGGAGTTTACCATGAAAAAGCCCCATTCGGCGCAGGCCTTGCCGAGTTGGGTGACGGCGTCGGCGTGGAGCAGGGGGTCGTCGGAAGTAAGGAGTAAGAAATCGATGACGGGGATGGAAGAAGCGAGCTCGTCGGCAACGTCGTCTCGGGGTTCAACGATAGAGTAGTAGGAGGAAGGGATGGGAGAGAGTCCATTGGAATCGGCGAAGGATTTAATACTGCCGATGTCGGAGGCGTGAAGCTTGGGAGGTTCCGATGAGGACATGGAGGAAGTGGCCGCTGGAGGCATGGGGATAAGATGGGTCAAATAAGAGGGAGTGATTATTGAATGAATGAGTGAAATGGAGGGAAAGGATATAATTATAGATAGACAAACTAATAATTGGAAGGTATGGGGGAAGAAGAAGACGGCGATGAGGATAAGCAACTCTTTATGAAGACCAGAGAGTAAGTTGGAGAAAAATAAAAACAGAGATGGGGTCTGAGTCACCAAGGGACATCTACAACTTGTCTTGTTCTTCATGAAGAGGAAGGCACCATCCATCTGCACAAATGCCCGTAAACTTAAAAAAAAAAAAAAAGTATTATGTGGTTCGGTTATTAGTAATTTAATAACTAATAATTGTTGCTATTAGATTAACGGGGGCTATCTGAATTGATCAGAATCTATTGCATCCATGTACTGCGCTCTTTTGTAATGTATTCATGCGTTTGGATGGATGAAAATTTAGATTTAAATTTATATTGGATCAAATTTTTTATTTTAATATGAAAAAAAATTATGAATTTATATTTGATTTAAATTCAAATTTATTTCTTGTTATGTTTGATTTGTAATTTTAAATTTATTCTATACCTTATTTATTTAAAATTTTAATCACTTTAAATATATCATCCTCTTCACATTTTCATTATTAATATTTATATGACTCTAGTATCTTTTTTTATTTTTATTTTTATCTTTTGTTAATTGAAAAAAAATGTTCAGATAAGTGTTTTGAATTTAAATAATTTTAAAATTGTTCATATTTTTTGTTTTTAAAAATACTAAAAACAAAAAATTGATGCAGGACGGAGAGAAAAGAAGAGAAAATCGATAGAAAGATGACTGAAAGAGAATTAGGAAGAAAGAAAACCTCGTGGTGGATAAATAATAGCAATTCATCTTCAATGAAAAGACAAATACCAAGCAAACGTTTTTAGCTAGCACTTGAGTTTTTATTGAAATAAAAATACTTAACACGTACAAATTCAAGAAGGGCGTAGAACCTTGCCGTCATCACGGTGGAACGTTCTGCTGGGCCATAAAAGCCCATGTTGTGATTGCCCAATGCGTTAAAAACCTCTTATTGTTGTCCAGAAAGATGTCAATGTCCACTGCAAGCTTCACAGTTCACACATGTGGTGGCATGAGTGTACGACGTGTCCCGAAAACAAGGATTTGCAGTTACAATCCTGGGATAATGGAACTGCCCGTGCCCGATAATACCAACTGAGAGAGTGATAGTTGGTAAAATAATGAATTGAGTTAATATCGGTTGAGATCCTGATATTTTTTTTAATGTAAGTTAAAAATATCAATCTAAATTATTATAAATTTAATTTTTAATTATAGATAAATATTTAGATATTAAATATAATTTTTAAATTAAAAAATTAATTTATAATTATAATTATTTAAATTAATATTTATAATTCATTTTATAAAAAAATTTGTCAAGAATTTAACTGACATTTGTAACACACCAATTTTTTTTATAATTTAACTCAATCATAGTTAGGTTACAGCCACTCAACACATTTTATATCAATAATTTTAATATAAAAATATTTTATAATTGGCTTCAACTCACACAATACAACATTTCAGTTAAATTTTTACCTCCCACATGCCCTTAGGTTAAATTACATTTGTCCATCCTTATACTCCCAACAAGTAAACTAAATCACATTTATCCATCCCTATATTCCCAACAAGTAAAATAAATAATTTAGTCAAATTTCAAAACAAGCCAGTGATTTGGCCTCATAAGCATGCCATTTTAATCAATTCAAAGTAAATCAAATATTAAAATTACAGTCATCCAAAGTGTACCAAAATAAAAATAGTTTGAAAGACATGATTATATTTATATATTTATATAATTGTCAATAAACAAAAAGTCCTAATATTGGTAATATAAAACATTATAAATCATAAATTAAATACCCAAAGAGACAGTGAATCTATGCCACTAAGCCTCTGGGACTCCTTCACGTGTCACTCGTGGCTCTTCTCCTGAAAATTATCAACCACATAATGAGACTCAAAAGTCCCAGCAACCAAAGCCAATTTATGATAGTGTATACAAACAGTTAAGTGTGTGCTTATTAAGTAAAAATAAAAAATAATATAATTTTAACAAATATAAGAAATATTACAATACACACAAACAACCATCCTTATATCCCTCCATTAACCTCGAGCCGTAGCCTTCACTCGGTGCTAAATTACTCGATCAAAAGTAGATTAGCCCGAGCCCTTGCAAGCCACCTATTGAGCTTCAATAGGGGCGTATCACATGGCACATAAATACAACAACAACAGCAAGTCTCCCAACACCTCTCACAATAATCAAACAAATTCATAATAATATTGCACAATTATACAATATTATAAAATTCACAATTTTCTCAATAATCACCCAATTAACATGAAGTAACACTAATCACAAATTAAAAGCATGGTTACCTCGTGGCTTTTTTAATAAATTATTCCTTACAAATTTCTCTCCCATCACAATCTTCACCAACAACACAATTTACAAATAACATATTATTTATAAATATTAGTTTTAATTATTAAATTAATAAAATAATTCTAATAATAGAATTAAAAATATAACATAATTCCTAATCTCAATCTTAATACAAATCTAGAGTTAATATTATTAAGTAAAATTTTTAATTCCTCTTTTACTCATCAATAAACATTAATAATCTAAAAATTAACTTCTAAACTAATTTCTATTATCAAAATTTTTTTTTATTTCATAAATTCACATCTAAAATACTCAAAAATTGAAAATTGAGTCTCAAGCTTAGAATAATAATCCTATAGCCATAATAATTCATTTCTCATCCTAAATAATCATCTAAACCTCAATAAATCAACATATATTTTCATATTTAATAAAAATATAGTTTAGGATTTGATCCTTAAGCCACAAATTCAAAGATTATCAATAAATTTATACTCTAAAATATTTATTGTACTACTAACAACTTCAAAAATTAAATTTATTCAACATAAATTCATATCTCTTCCAAATCCTAAATTTTCTACCACTACAAAATCAAAAATCAAAGAAAAAAGATGGCTGAGAACAAATTCTAAATCACTTACTTAGTCTTGAAAAATTTAAAATCACACCCTAAATATCCTATTAAAAATTTTTACCTTAAAAATTCAGATCTTTTGCACCGGCGACTCGCATTCTCTCTGCCTCAACTCGCGCACAGGAAAAGAATTGAAGAAATGAAAGAAAATAGGTGAGTTTTTATAAAAATTTAGTAGGTTCTACATTTTTTTTTATTTTTTCTTTCCTCCCTCTTTTTTTTTTATTATTATGAAATGATTGTGCGCTGAAAGTCTTTTGTTCTCCTCCTCTTTTTTTTTTAATTTATTAATATATATATTTGTACATTATACTGTGCGAGCAAAACGTCCACCTCCTCATTTTTTTTATTTCTATAATATTTCATTTCTCAATTTCTCTCTTTATTATATTTCTCTTTCTTCTTTCTGAATAATAATAATTTTTAAAATCTTAACTTAAAATTATATCCTAAGTTAGATTTAATAATTATCTTTTACTAATTTATTTATCTCTAAATATTTTTTAAAATTTCTATTAACTCAAATTAACTATTAAAATTTAAATTGAGATGTTACAACGTTAATTTACTATTTTCAAAACTAACTGTCATTCTTTTCATAACACCCACGTTGCAAAGGATGTGAAGAGAAAAATAAGAAAAAAACAAGAGGGAGAAGAAATTAGAAGAAAATAACATGTGAGATGTACATATTTTCTCCTCACTTTTCTTTTTAAATATGGAGAGATTTTGAGAAGAAAACTTAATTTTTTTAAATTTACTCACTGCACTTTTTGCTCTCACCCGTTTCTTATTATATGAAATTAATAATTTTTTTTCTCTAATTTTTTCTCTCTCAACTAAACATAGAAAGAAAAAAATTATATTTCTTTACTGTTTTTTTCTCCTTATTTTTTCTGCTCTCATTTTCTTTTCTTTCTCTTTTTCCCTATTTTCTGTTGTTAACCAAGCAGTAGTGTAAGAGATAACTTTCAGATATCACGGGCGTCCACTATCGTAGCCTTCCCTTCAAAATTCCCGATGCCATACGAGTACGGCACGTTCTAGTCAATTCAGATTAATTGAGTCCACAGTTAAGAGGATTATTAATTTAACGCTCAAAATATTGCGTAACTTAACGGAATTCGGACTACTCCAATTATAGATATAGTAGGATATTAGGAGAATAATTGGAAATCTTTTTCGGGGAAAAAAAAAGCCCGGAAAGAGAAGGGCAAAGCATAAGAGGAGGAGAAAAGGAGAACAGCTTAGTTGTGAGCTGCGAGTGCTAATTGGACAAAGAGAAAGTCTGGTTAAAAAAAAAAAAAAAGGGTTGGAGAAAGAAAAAGAGAGCAACTAACAAGAAATCTGAAAGCGAAAAAGGCGGGCCGTACAATCTATTATGAATTTTTATAATTACAATATAAAGCATATTTTTATAAATTTTATTTAGTTTAAAGTATAAAATATTAAATAATTTTTATATTTACATTTTCAATTATACTCTTTCTTTATTTATTATTATTTTTAAAAAATATATATTAAAATTTTAATTATTATTATTAAGACTTTTATATAAAATATTTAATGAAAGTATAAATAAAAAAATGAGAATATTTTTTAAAAATTTAAAATTTTAGTTAATATCATTCATAAATTGTGAATTAATTAATCATAATTTATATTGTGGTACAGAGTAATATTTTGCTTTGATTTAAAATCCTCTGTTTCTAATTATTGACCATTTCAACCAAGAAGCAGGGGCTATCCATTCAAGATACAACAATAAAACCCCGGTCGCAAACTCAAGTCCCAGCCACGCCCAACATTCCCATGATGTTGAACACATGTTCGCGGGAAGTGGCAGCGATGACATGCATCAGTTTTGAGGATTAGTCCGAACCCTATCCAATCTGCTCGTGTCGTCCAACTTCGTCATTTGCTGAACCTTGAAGAAGTAGTCCCTGTACTTGATGTTCTTGTACATTACTGGCTCCTCTCTCCCCACCAGCTCCGGCGCCGGTCCTATCTCCTTCTCCAGGTTTGGTCCGTTCGCCACCACTATACTCATCCTCGTGTCTTTGTTGTTCAGTACCGCCCGGTGCCAGATGCTCTTGTACCTCCCGTTGCTCACCGCCTAATTCATTCATCACAATCACTACTAAACTCGCACGAGCGCGCATTTGCATCAACTAACTATAAAAAGAGTGGTTTAATTTGTGAATGAAGGTATAAGAAGAGACCTCAAGTTGATCTGCAGTGTTGACAATGAAGCAGTTTGGGAGAGGATCGACGTTGACCCACCTGCCGTCGTGCTTGACCTGGAGGCCTCCGATTCCATTCTGGTAGAGGAGGGTGAGGAGGCCGTGATCGGTGTGAGGAGGCATGCCCAGGGCAAGGTCCGGCTGAGGGCAAGGAGGGTACAGGTTGACTGCGAAGATCTGCAAACCAGAATCAAAACCAGTGGACTCCACGAGGGCCTCGGGTTCTAATCCCAAGCTCTCCGATATCCCTTGCAGCAAAGTCCTCGCCACCGCCCTGATCTTCCTGACATAATCATATGCAACGTCCCTATAGAAACAGAGCGGATTATACAAAGGCCAATCCGAGAAGCAGAGAAAACAGGGAGTGGAAGAGTTTACTTGAAACCAGGGGGTTTGTGGGGGAAATTGAATTCTGGGAGGGTGATGACCTTGAGGTAATCTCTCCAGAAATGAAACAGCTCTGCTTCAGGGTAGAAGCTGGTGCCATGCCGGATGGGTGCCAAGGGACCCTTGTCCGCGAATTCCTTCTTTTCCTCTACGGACAAGTTATGGAATTCTTGAGACTTGTCCATCACTTCCCCCATCAGCTTCTCCGAGATTCCATGACCTGTGAGCTGTCACAATTCACACATGTTGTTCACCCCCAACAAACCTGAACCCAGTTTTAGAAAACAGAAAATGTGCTTAAAGTTACTGGTTTGACTAATATAAAGACCAAGTGAGTAACGCCTTAGAACATAATTAATTAATATTAATTAATTTTCTTATAAGCTCTTGACCAAGTCGATCCCGGGAATAGAGCATTGTGGATCTATGAAGCACATACTTCCAACAAAAAATAAATAAACATATACTCCCTCCCTCTGTTATAAAATATAAAATATTTTTATTCAAATCTCATTCTTCAATAAAGTTGTTGCCTACTTTCAAACTAATCATATCTTTTCATATTTACCCTCTATTAAACACCCTATAATAAATATAAAATCACTATCAATATGTGCACTTTTGAAAAAAAAGACAATGATTATACCTCAAAAGATTAAAAATATCTTACATTTTTTAATATTTAATTTTTTAAAAAATATCTTATATTTTTAAACGGAAGGAGTACACATCATATATATATTGAATATATATCCAATAGGAAAATCATAGAATACTTGGTATGGCATATGATATTCTAACTTTTGTATTATAATTTTTTAAATGAAATTTTTTATATTACTAAAAAACTAGAAAAAATTATTATTTTGGTTGACAAATATATTTACATTACTTTAGATATTCTTATTCAAATGTTAAGATGCATATACCTGCTTCATGAGAAATACTTAAATAGTTGAGTGCGATGCAATTAAAATAATTCAAGTTATCTAAATAAAATCTTATGTAATATTTTTTAATTAATTTTATTTTAATATAATAGAATACATAATTAATTTTTTATCTTTTTTTCTCTCTATTATTATTAACATCAAAATTAATTTATATTTAATATTATTTAAATATCATATATTTATTGAACATATAAATAATATGATTCATCCAATCTATTTATATATTTCTCCCTATATCATATTGTGTAAAAATATATATTATAAATATTCGCTATTCTAAAATTTTGAAAATTGTCATCGTGGACTAGCTTAATCTATCTTCGACTTAACAATTGATTAAACTAATGTACAATCTATAAAATATTCCAACAGATAATAGACAGGAAGTTTACCATGAAAAAGCCCCATTCGGCGCAGGCCTTGCCGAGCTGGTTGACGGCATCGGCGTGGAGCAGAGGGTCGTCGGAAGTGAGGAGAGAGAAATCGACGATGGGGAAGGAGGAAGCAAGCTCGTCTGCGACGTCGTCTCGGGGTTCAACGATGGAGTGGTAGGAGGAAGGGATGGGGGAGGATCCATTGGACTCGGAGAAGGCTTTGATGCTTCCGATGTCGGAGGCGTGAAGCTTCGGAGGTTGCAACGAGGAATTGGTAGATGTGGCTGCTGGAGCCATGTGCATATGATGGATCCGAAATCGGAGTGAATGATTATTGTAGTGAGTGAAGAGGAAGGTAGAAAGGATATAAATAAGTAAATATATAAATAAATTATTGGGGATAGGAGAAGAAAAATTCGATAAGGACAAGAGAGGAAGTAGGGCAATAAGAAGAAAAACGGATCAACGACGATCAGGTTTGACAATGAGAAGTAGTTGGCATCAGAGGATGGCACGACCGCACGATTGATCTGGAATGGGCCTCCACAAATACAACAGTTTGCGTGGCACCCTTTCTTTGGGCCAACAAACATCATGCCTTTCCGGTTTCCTGGAGACACTGCAAAGAAAGTACCAAGTCAACAAGGAGGTGCGCCCAAGCAAAAATGCCCTGAAAAAGTATTCCTTTCAATTTTAATTTCAGTTTCATTTCATTTACAAGTTACAACTTAAAAAATTTATTTAATTTTATTTATAAATTATAATATATTTTTTTCATTTAAAAATATAAAATATTTTTTAAAAAATTTAATATTAAAAAATATGAATTATTTTTAATCTTTTAAAATATAATTATTATTTTTTTAAAGTGTCTCTATTGATGACGACTTTATATTTATTATAAAATATTTAATGAGAGTAAATATGAAAAAATAATGTTAGTTTAAAAGTAGATAACTACTTTATTAAGGAGTGAGATTCGATTAAAAATATCTTACAATTTTAAACAAGGAAAGTAATTTTTAAATAATGCATGCTTAAAAATTATTTTTTACGAAAAAACATGACATCATTTTTAAATTTATTATACAGGGACATATTTAAAATTTCATTCGCTTTTATTTTTTATATTTTGTTACATTAATATTAATAAAATTAATAAAAATAATTTATAAAAAAGATTGGAGAAGTGCATCAGATATTGCCAAATTCGGTCAAAAAAAAAATTATCAGATATTGCCAAAAGTGGAGGTGCGGGGAATCGAACCCCGTGCCTCTCGCATGCGAAGCGAGCGCTCTACCATATGAGCTACACCCCCATCTTGCTGTATGTTATCTACTTATTCTAAATTCTAAATCTTTCTATCGGTCAAAAGTTTATTTCTGGTTCTGGTGCCGCTAAAAGAAAGGCAGATCAGTTAGCATATGGGTTTGTACCTAACCTAAAAATTTGGGCAACAAGAGTCCCAGTTCCCGCTTGACGGGTAAAACAAGAGAAGCTGGCAACTTGGATCACAGAGAAATTAAATACAGAATCAATGTTTCTGTGCTTGGGCGTTTGCAGAAATATAACGTCGATGGGAGACTAGAGTGGCAGACTGCAGTGAATGAGTCAAAAGCAAAGCAAAACCAACTGTTCCTACATCATCCACCGTTTTCTCATGCTTGTTCAATTTTATGGATCTGTGAGTGAGCCTCGAGGCGATATAAATACAGAAATTGTTGCAGAGAAATAAGAAGCTATGGGTAGCAGAGACGGCCAGGCAGTGAGTCCAGGATCGAGGATGTTCCACGCTCCTGGCTTCGACTGTTATGTAATTGCAGTCATGGGGGTGAAGAAAAGAATCCATCTTCAACTCATCAAACAAGGATTATCCAATACTCTGCTCAACCATCCCAGGTTCTGCAGTAATATGGTACGCACCATTTTCTTACTTATTCTCAGTGTGTTTTCGGGGGCTTCTTTTTTTTTTTTTTGACTTTGTTTTCACTCTAGGATTCGCCAAAAAAAAAAAAGTTGTATTAGACCATGAAATTTATTTTAATCCCTTCAGGAGCTGTTTTTAGTCAAAAGTTATGTAGTTGTTATTGGAATGAATTTTATACATATATGTGTGTGTATAATACATAACACAATTTAAGACCATTTCCATAGCAGATTAATGCCTTTAATTTTGTTTTTTTTTATGATAATTAATTAATACTCGATTAGTTGATTTTATAACATTATTTATTTAATTATCTTGTTGAAGTTATATTATTTATTAACTATGGGTCCCTTTTCTAGCTTTAAAAAGCGGGCAAACGAAAGGAAACAAAGATCAAATGGGGCCTGAACAATCCCTACGAATTGATTTTGCATTTTAAGTTACACTAACACTGAGATTTTCAAGTTTCAAATATAACGATGAGATTTCAGGTATCATGTGTTGGCGTCCTGTTTTGTTTGGGACAGGTAAAGGAGGGTAGGAAATGGAGATGGAATCCAACTACAGTGAACTTAGAGGACCACGTCATAGTTCCCGAAATAGATTCCTACCTTGAGTTTGCTGATCCGGACCGATTCCTCGAAGACTACGTTTCTAACGTTACAAAAACTCCATTAGACATGTCGAAGCCTCTGTGGGAAATGCACTTCCTCAACCTGAAAACCTCCGAAGCAGAGGCTGTCTGCGTCATGCGAGTCCACCATTCCTTGGGAGATGGTGCCTCTCTCATGTCGCTTCTTCTTGCCGCGTCTCGCAAAGCCTCCGACTCACTTGCCCTGCCAACTGTGCCTGTCCTTAAGAAAGCCACCTTGGACCGCCCTCCTTCCGGCTGGTGCTTATGGCGCTTCTTGCTGGTCTTATGGGGTATTGTGACGTTGCTTTGGAACACTCTGGTCGACTTGGCGATGTTTGCTTTGACCGTCTTGTTCCTCAGAGATTCAGATACCCCTCTGAAAGGTGCTCCTGGGATGGAGCTCAAAACGATGCGTTTCGTCCACCGGCACCTCAGTATGGATGACGTCAAGCTCGTCAAGACTGCTATGAAAATGGTATATATCTTCTATTATCCTCTGTCTCTCCTTTCGTTGATCTAATTTCTTATATATTTACGCATACACAGACACACATATATACAAATGCTCAAGCTCACGTCTTTGGTGTTTGAATTTTCTATTTTCTCGAATGGAGGATGTATAGACCATCAATGACGTTTTATTGGGAGTAACACTAGCTGGTTTGACTCGTTACTTGAATCGAGCATACGGTGAGTCTCCTTTTTTGTGTAATTATAAACTGTGAACTACTGGTTAACTGACACACGCACGCACGCTCAGGGTTCCGAATTAAAGGGTTAAAACTGAATGTGTATATACGCCAAAATGACGGAACAGGAGCTGAGGAAACAGGTGGAAAGCAAAGGCCAAACCATAATCATAACCTCAACAACATTCGGCTCAGGGCGACAATTATGGTCAACGTTCGACCAAGTGCAGGAATCCAGGTAACATGTCCTTATTCCCTGCTCGATCGCTCTTTCCTTTTATTCATACTTGAGGTAAGACGGAAAGAGAAGCATGGGTGAGTATATTGGACACACGCATGATGTAAACCAAGAAGATTGTTTTGAAGAGTATTGAGTGTGTGTGTGTGTGTAACAGGAGCTGGCAGATATGATGGGAGAGAGATCAAAGGCGAGATGGGGATGGGGTAATTGTTTAGGGTTCGTTGTTGTGCCTTTTGTCATTGCTTCTCAAGATGATCCTTTGCAATATCTTCGTCAAGCCAAAGCCATCATCGATCGCAAGAAGCACTCTCTGGAATCTATCTGCACTTTTTACTGTTCTAAATTGGTACTCAAATTTCTCGGAATCAAGGTATGTATCTATTAGACAAGTTAACTTGATCTCCACTTTATATATGTATATTTGAACTTGTGTTGGAGGAAACAGGTGGCTTCAGCTATAACAAGGAGAGTTTTCTTAAACACAACCATGGCCTTCTCTAACGTGGTTGGTCCCCTGGAAGAAATAAGCTCCTTTGGGCATCCTTTGGCCTACATTGCTCCCTCTACATACGGATACCCTCATGTCCGTATTCTTCTCTTTCAATTTTATTTACATGTTTAGTTTTATCACTCCCTACACTACATCCGTCGGTGTTGTTGTTCATTGTGTTCTGTTGCTGTTGCAGGCACTAACCATCCATTTCCAAAGCTATCATGAGAAGATGACTCTTTCTATGGCAGTGGATCCGAGTGCTATTCGTGATCCTCATCTTCTTTGCGATGACTTCCAACTATCCCTTGGACTCATCCGGGACGCTGTGAATAAAAATCTCGTCCCAGCTGCTGTCTAGGACCGCATATAAATTCTCTATAACTGTGATGTTTACATTTGTGATTTTATTATTATTATTATTGATTCTATTATTTAACCTTATTAAAAGTCGTGTTTTCATCACGAATAGGACCAAGCGACTGGGGAGTTTTCTTTTGGATCATTTCGATGATTTCTCCTCAAAGCTTAGGCTCAGTCAGTATCTTCCTATCATATTTGTCTTCTTTCCTGTAATTAAAAAAAAAAAAACAGATTTTCAAGAAAAAGGAGCCATAACGTGGGTAGGCGATACTTCTAAGCAAAGGATACTTCTATTAAAATCAACGAAGGAGTCCAGGAACAATAGGAAAAAACAACAAATTAAAAGCAGGAAATTAAAAAACAAAAAAAAAAAAACGAAGGTGGTTAGGCGATGACTCCCCATGTCTGCTGATTTGATATATTTATAAGAGTTATTTGGGTAGTCGTCGTTGAATTTTACGTGAAATTTGTTAAATGATCAACAAATAATTGAGCTTGGACATTTAGGAGACATGCAGTGGTATGTAATTTCACTAGCGTTTTGTGTTATTTATAGGATCAACAGAGCCAATGGAAAAGCGACAAAGAGAAAAGCTGATTTAAAAAGTTAAAATTCAAAAAAAGACACCCTATGATAAAATTGCACATGGCATCGTACTAAGGTGAAGTGTCAGCTTGGATAATCTTTTTAATTAATTTTAAAAGTTAAAACTATGATTTTATAAAAATATGTTCAAACATTTAGATGTTAAAATTAATTATGTATTTAAAATTATATTTTTTTAAAAATATCCTAACACCCATTATATATGCAAAAATCAATTTAACCCAAAATTATGTTTTTTTTAATATCCAAACATCTCTATATATTTTAAAATCAATTATAAACCCAAAAATATTATTTATGAAATAATTTATATAATTTTTGAATAAATTTTTTAAAAATTACAATTGAAAATATGAATTAAAAAGTATATGATAGTAGCTTATGAGATAGCCATGATTTTAAGTTTATAATTAATTTTAGCATGCATGAATATGTTTGGATATTTTTAAGAAAATTATGTTTTTAAGTTTATAATTGATTTTGAAATATATAATGAATGTTTGAATATTTTTTAAAAAACATGATTTTAGATTCATAATTAATTTTAATATGTATCAAGAATGTTTGGATATATTTTTACAAAATCATAATTTTACTTGATTTTTAATTCTACTTTTCAATTTTACTTTTTAATTCTGATTAAAATCAATCTTATTAATCAATTTTATAAATCAATTATACATCTCATAACATAATGAATTATATTTAAAATTAATCATGTTAACCAATTATATTCAATTGAAATTCACACACAATCGAAGGATGCTTGGGAAGGCTTAGATTCACCGAGTGATTGAGGATTCAAGCCAAAATCTCACTGATCAATTCATTCCTCTCCTTCTGGTTCGATTGTATATATCTTGCTTTGTGTAGAGTCATGTCTGGCTAAACTTTTTGTGTGCATCAGCAGCTTTTAATTTAATGGGATTTTGTTCTTTTTTTTCAAGTTTGCAAAGGAAAAGCCTTTTTTTTTTTGCCAGGATTTTGTCTTTGGTAAAAAAAAAAAAATAGAAGCCATCCTGGTTCAAAGAACGCAGACATGGACAGAGCTACATTTCTTTTGGGGGGGGGGGGTTTATTAGTTTTCATATTTTATGATCTGCACCCTCATCAAGTTATACTTTGTACCTTTATTTTGATATTTTAAATTTTAAACTCATTTGAGTCTTACTTTTTAGCCTAAATTTAAAAATTTTTTAAGTTAAAACCCAGTGAATATTAACCCATAATTTTACTATATTAAAAATCAATATTATTAATTAATCTTTAAAAAAATGGAAAAAAAATTAATTTAACTAAACCAAACCTTCATTGTCCTCATACCGAATACACTAGTAAGGACTAGTGTAAAAAAAAAAAGTTAATGAAAAAAAAGACTAATTAAGACTCATTAAATGCTTTTTGTTGACTTGCTACATTTGCAAGTTTGCAATTGAACGTTAACTTAAAAAAAGCAGAGAGAGAAAAATAAATGCATAAATAAAGAGAATTATTATATTTGGAAGAGACACTAAGGCTTTCCTTATGTCAAGAATCCTAACTCCACTACTCTCCATCTCAATATCCTAACTCCGCCATTATTTAAAAGTTACTTACAAATTGCCCACCGATAAAGTGATTATAGGTGCAGTGAGATTTGATTTCATGGTCTTATAGGTTAGTTAAATCTTTACTGGTCAGAATAAACTTTGTTGTTTTGTTTTGTTTTTTTTTTTGGGCCAAAATTGAAAAGGAAATGCTAAACGAAAATGGTGATATGAGGGCCTAAATGAAAGGGATTGAGTGGGAGAGATACGACAAAACGCCATTTTGGGATGCCACTTGTGGCCCATTTACACAAAGTCAAGCAGAATCCTAACTAATCGAATCGTGGGCCGATGGGCTTTGCCTGGAATGGCCCATTAAATAAAGTCCTCGCTGATTTATATGCAAAATCAGTTTAGTATCTGTTTAAATTTCAATTGAATATAATAAATTATAAAAATAATTAATTAAATAGTAATTATAATTATAATTAATTATATTATAATATAATATGTTTGGATACTATTTTTTTAAAATTAATTTAATAATAAACTTAAAAATGTTTGGATAATTTATTCAGACTTAATTTTAACTGTATAAATTACCATAAAAGACATTGCTTCTTAAAATTAAATTATTGATAAATTTATATTTAATATTATTAAAGTTGTTACATTATATTTAAAAAGTAAAATATATTATTTAAATTATATATCTAATTAATTAAAAATTTAAATTATATTAATATTTAAATTTATGTATATAAGTAAATCAATATATCTTAATTAAAATAAATTTCATAAAATAAAAATATTTAATTTTTAAATACTAAACATTAATTTTTATTAAGAAAAGGATAAAGAAGAGAAGAGAGTTTAGTTTTATCTGTGCTTTCTTATAATTTTTTTCTTGAGCTTTTTTTTTTATTTTTCTCAATACCTTTGCAAATTTAAACGCAGAAGCTCATTCTTTTAGCTTTAAAAAAAATCAATTTTTGCAAAAGTTGGTGTTTGGATGATTGAAGCAAAGATCAATTTTTTTCCCTCAAAAAAAACAATTATATGGCTATCCAAACACATATTTAGTCTCTCACTTTAACCCCGGGTTTTGGGGGGGGGAGTTTTCTTTGTCGCGGCATGAACTTGCCACATCCATGTATGTCTCTACTATATATTAATTCAGATGAGAATTGTACCCAAAAAAAAAAAACAAACAAACAAACAGACGAGAACAAACTTCCAAAAAGCCAATGATTTTTGCTTTACAGATGAAACTTTCTAGAATAAACCCGTTTTTTTTTTTGAAAAAAGTTTGACTCTATTTTATTTTGCGACTTGCATGATGGTTGCAGGGTGACACTAGATCAGGCGGCTTATTAGGCCTATTTTAAATCTAACCTGACCTCTTCAGTAAATAAGTTACATCAAGCTTATTTTCCCAAGTATGAGCTTGATAGACTAGCCTTTTAAATAAGTGTGTGGATTATATAATTATTATTTAATTAGTTAAAGTTAATATTTGATATATGAAATATATATTAAAATATTAAGTTATAGTTGTGCAGGCTTTAATAAGTCTGAAGCTTATTATTACTTAAAATATCTACTTTCTTAAATAGGTTTTTCGGTTAAATTTTAAATAGGTTTAAATTTAAATCATAAAAAAAAAATTATACATGCTCCAAGCTAGCTTATATCTCTGGTTTGCCATATAGACTCGTATGTATTTAACCAAAACTCGTGAGCTAGCTTTTGCCTTTACTTGCATGCATTGTTTTAAAGGTTGATCAGAATCCTGGATATTAAACTATTATTTTAATAGCATCCTAAATTCTAAATAAAAACTCATATTAATTTATAAATTTTAAGTAAATTATTCTCACTGTTAATCCATACAACAATAGCTAGCGTGCTGTGTGTCAAGAGGGGATTCATGCCCATCAACCTTTGATTGGGCCCCAAAAATTAAACACAATGGTTGTTATATGTAAATTAATAGTAGAGGTTAATTTGCTGTTTAGTAATAATTTAAGATCTAAGATGTTCATTTTAAGAGTTTAGAGTTCATATATACTATTTGAGTAACAATTTAGAATTCAAAATATTCATTAACTCTTGTTTTAACTTCGAAGTTATGTAGATAAGTTTTTTATAAGAAAATTATAAATAGATCCCACACAAGGAAATTAATTACTGCAAGGTCCATTGACAACTGAACTAAACTGCATTTAGTTCAGTTGTCAATGAACCTTACAGTAATTAATTCTTTTGTGTGAGACTTTAACATCATTCTCCCTTTTTCATAATGTTGGTAAAAAGAGTGCACGTGGCAATCACAGGAATGCATGTGGCCATTAATGCTTCGAGGATCATTTTCAGATGGCCCTTTCCACATAAAGGTAGATGGTACCTCCAAATTTGTCCTCTTCTTGGGTAAGCTTATATGCACCTTCCCAGTGGACTAGTATGTTAAGGGAGACAAGCTACCTCTTTCTCATATATGATATGGGCTTCCAAATGTTTAGTCCCATGAAAAATGTTAACCCCCTCCCCTTCCAAATAAGATATAAAAAGTGCACAATTATATGACACTTTATATTATTATGTCATTTTATCAAAATATATATAACATTTTTATTATAATTTTTTTTCATCTTTCATTAAAAAAAGTATGCTATTAAAGTATACATACTTAATGTTATAAAAAAAAAAAGCATATTTAATAGGGATGAAATTAGAAACTTGTTAAATTTTTAGATAAATTAATGAGTTTTAATTTTTTTTTTAGTTTCAATGAAACATGTTGAATGTGGCTTATGTGAGATCTGAGGGTGATTTTTTCATTTTTTATTAAATGAGAACAAACATGAAAAGATGATATCAATTTAAAAAAATTAATTAATTCATTGAGAGATATATTCGATTAGAAATATCTTATATTTTTTAATAAGATAGAGCATATTTAAAAAAAAATTGGCCCTTCTCAACCTTAAGCCTTGTGACATCCTAAAAATTAGCTTCTATTTAATTAAATTAATTGAAGGTAATTAAGCAAATATAAATATGTATTAAACATGTGGATGGTTAGGGAGCATTAACGGCCTATTGAGTTGTA